GACACCTCCAGTGGTAGTAACTCAGACAGCGACTAGAGGTTCTTCCTGGGTCAGTGATAGACAATGTGCAGGCGCTGAACTTTCCCCACAGAGATGGGGATTGATTCAATACATCTCTATGAGGAGATGCCAATTGGCGCAAGCAGCGTTTTGCCGTACATGTGCATTAGCTTCCCAACTTTATTCCAGCGCCGATGGACCTGTATGGCGCTGGAATAAAGTTGATCTAAATGGTGTTTTTAACATTATAGGGTCAGGAACACACATTTGTATTCCCGACCCTATAGTGTTCCTTCAAATGCAAGTTTGCTTCTTTTTTTTTTTTTTTTTTACAGCATTCTAGTATGTCCATGGCATCAGTGTGTGTACGCAGGGACATATTTGTTTTGAGGGTCTGTATGTGTGTGTAAATGCTAGACCATATTAATATGTAGTTAGTGTGTGAACCCACCCGGGTGTGCATGTGTGGAAGGTCAGTGTGCGTGAACACATGGGCACGTAGTAGTTATAGGGGCTATATTGGGGCGGGGCTATATTGGGGCGGGGGTAATAGGGGCTATAGTGTGGGAAAGGGGTAATGTGGGCAATAATTTAGGCAGGGGAAATAGAAGGTAGCAGGGAAGGAATAGGAGCTGTTGTGGGTGCAGAGTGCGATGGAGGCTGCAGGTAATAGGAGCTTTAGTAGATACAAGGGGTAATATGGGTTGTAGAGGGTGCAGGGGCTGTAGTGTGTGCAAGGGGTAACATGATTTGTCCTGGGTACAGAGTATATGGGTGCTGTAGTGTGTGTAGGGAGTAATAGGGGTTTAGTATGTGTAGGTGCAGAGTGCGGGGATATGGGGGTTGTAGTATGTGTAGGGAGTAATATGGGTTTAAGATGTGTAGGGGGTACAGGGATTGTAGTGGGTGATAGGGGTTGTAGTATATGTAGGGAGTAATAGGGATTGTGGTATGTGTAGTGGGTGCAGGGAGTAATAGGGTCTATAGTGGGTAATGGGGGTTGTAGTATGTGTATGGAGTGATAAGATTTGTATTATGTTAATGGAGTGATAAGATTTGTAGTATGTGTAGGGAGTGATAGGATTTGTAGTATATGTAGGGGATGATAAGGGTTGGGGCTGGATAGTTAAATCATGTATTCCCCCCTCACTGAGCTTTACCTTTGTCCATGGAAGGGGGAATCCTTATCCATGGTGGTCCGGTGGCAGAATACGCTTGTTTGCACTCCTGGTGTGTGCAGGCAGTCACACCACCTCCTCGCCATGAAAGTGTTCAGAAGAGCTCCCTCCCTGGCCAGTCATGGAACTGCAGCAGAGGCATGCTGGCTTGTATCACTGATAGAGCAGCTCCGGACAGGACTGATCAGTTACAGGCAGCCTCCATGCTGTGCTCAGCTCACGACAGAGGCTCTGCTCCTGCAGCCTCCGCGGATTTTTTTTCAGCCCACATGCTGCACAAGACAGGCACAGTGAGAGGCAGCCTGGTGGTTCTTTGATAAGGCCCCTTGGCTGTCTCTCAGTGTGCTACACACAATCCCTCTGCTCACAGCAAGTATAGCCTGCCGACCAAGGTGGAAACTAGAAGAAGTTCGTGCGGGCCCCTTACTGAGTGCAGGCTGGGGAGCTTGTTTAACTCCCCAGCTGAGCTATTACAATACCCGGCGGGTGGGGGCCCTAAACAACAAGGGGGGGACCTATTGTCCTCCCCCCACCCCTGAGTGGTGGGTGGGGGCCATAAATAACAATAAGGGAGGGGGAGACCTACGGTCCCCACCCCAGGCTTAACCCCTGAGTGGCGGGTGAGAATGTGTTTGTGGGGGGGACCTGAGCAGTGCGTGGGGGCCATAAATAACAATAAGTGGGGGAACCTATTGTCCTCCCCCCCAGCCCCCACCCATGAGCGATGGGTGGGGCTATAAATAACAATAAGGGGGGGGGGAAACTATGGTCCTTCCCCCCGGCCCCCACCCCTGAACGGCGGGTGGGAGCCCTAAATGAAAATGCCCCCTGAAGGTGACTAGGGTCCCCAAGCCCCTAGTCACCCCCAACCCAAATAAAAAAATAATAATCCCCTACCTACTAAAAAAATAGTGAGGGGGGAATAAAATAACTAACTACCTGTAAAAAAATGCCACATGAAACCCATCATACCCGTCGAACTTGTAAAAAATAAAATAAATAACAGACGAAAAAGAAAAACCCGACGCTAAAAAAATAACCCATCTTCACCCGGTGAGGGCACAGTGCAGAATGAGCTCCGAAGGGCAGGGCAAGGCTTATAAAGCCTTGCCCTGCCCTGCAGTTAAGCTAAGAACACTCTGATTGGTTGGTTTAAGGCAATCAGAGTGCTCTGTGTAATTTTACACAGCGTGGGGGCCTGGGGGGAGGACAATAGGTCCCCCTTATTTTATGCATGGCCCCCACCCACCGCTCAGGGGTGGGAGGACAATAGGTCCCCCCTTTATTGTTATTCGTGGCCCCCACCCACCGCTCAGGGGTGGGGGTCGGGGGGAAGGACAATAGGTTCCCCCCTTATTGTTATTTAGGGCCTCCACCCACCACTCGGGGGGGAGGACAATAGGTCCGTCCCCCATTATCCTTTAGGGCCCCCACTTGCCGCTCAGGGGTGGGGGCCGGGGGGAGGATAGTTGGTCCACCCCCCTTATTGTTATTTATGGCCCCCACCCACTGCTCAGGGGTGGGGGCCGGACAATGGGTCCCCTCCATTATCCTTTAGGGCCCCCACCAGCCCTCAGGGGTGGGGGTCGGGGGGGGTACTATGGTTTTGTTTGTTTTTTAATAGGCTGCTCACTGTTTAGTAGACATGCCCCTACTCGCGGTATAGCTAGTAGGGGTATTCGGGAGATTTCAATCTTCCTTATGCTATTATGGTGCTCATATTAACCCCCATAGAGTGAGGGAGGACATGGGGGGCTTAGGAAGTGGCGGGGATCACTGCTCCCTGCCGCTTCTATCTTTACATTTTACAAGGAGGGAGCTGTGCGCCGGTAGCTCCCTCCTTGTAATAAACTGAACAAACAAATGAACACGATATTCTCTGACGAATGAATGAATAGATGAAATTCCCATTCGCATGCCCAGGTGTTTAACTGGGCATGTGCGGGAATCTCACAGTGCTATCTAGTGTGGGCAGATGACGTGTCCCACAGGGACTTCATCTACCCACACAAAGATGGCGGTGCCCAGAAACTAGGTCCGGGCACAAAATAAAGTTAAAAAATAGGTAATATGGGGGGCATAGGGGCATTTGGGGGTGACTAGGGGGCCAGTTAGATGTAGTGGAGTCGGGAGGGGGGTTAAAAAAAACGGGATTCGGCCATGACAGGGCTGCTTTAATGGTTAACATGGACATTGACAGCATGTTAGTATGAGGTGAAAAATTACTACTTTGAAAAAAAAAAAAAAAATATTTAAAAAAGGATGATGATTCTGCAGATGATCTTGATAGACAGCTGTCTCTTTTGAGCCTACTATGCAAATTAGCAGCAATAAACAATCTCATCTGTCTACACTGACAAATTCTAATTCTAGTATTGTTCAATTTTTACTTCAAACTATGATACAAAGGGCGCATAATAAAGAGATTAATGTGCCCCCACCATGTGCATTAAATAAAAATAAATAAAAGTTGTACTTATCTTTTTCCAGCACCAAGGCTTCCTAAGCAATGTTGACCTCTCCACCTCCTGTGACATCATGGAATAGGCATGGCCTTCTCTACAATGTAAACAAAGTTAAGCGTGAGCACGAGCACAGATTTGGCTGGTTAAAGGGAAAAAAAGCAGACTATGTAACCTAAAAGGAAGCAATCATCAGTAGCTCGGCCTTAAACCTACTCCACACAATTCTCAAAAAAATATATTCTTGGGATGTGCAATAGGAGAGAGAGGAAAAAAAAACCGGAAATAATAAATAGTGGGCTAAAGGGATCAAAACCCCAATACCACTCTATTCACTTATACAGCTTTCAAACTGCATGTAGAGAGGCTAAACTTTCACACCAGTGCATATGAAGTATAAGTATCATTTTATTATTCATTAAATAAAAACAAATAAACCAGTGGTAGTCAACCTTTTTCTACCTACCGCCCACTAATGCATCTTTCTTGATGGAAAAATGTCCTTACCGCCCACCAGTTTTCGCGCAAGCGTGGAATATTTTTTAGAAAGGAGGGTGTTTTAAAAAAAATAAATGGACGTACATTTATCTTTTTATTTCTACTTAATGCATGTTTATAATGTTTTTAACTTTATAAAGTTTAATGAGAAAACAATAAAGTAAATTGAAATTACCTTTACTAGTGATTAATGAGATCCTTGAGGTTGATGCTGTGAGACTAAATATTTGATATCTGGTTCGATTTTCGTAAGGAACAAACGAAGGTCTCCTGTTTCTGTGATATTCAGACGACTTCTCTGTTTGCGCAGAATATGATTTCTCATCTGTGCGTCAGTTCCCCTCCTCTCCCTCCTCAATTCCCCTCCCCACTTTTTTTTTTCCTTTTTTATATTTTTTAACCTTCCTTATAGCAATGCCCAGTAGGAAGGCTGAGCTAGGTAGCTCACTTACTATTACTTACTATAGCCCACTATAACAGACAGGCACACATACATACAGACACACACACAAGACACACATACAGACACACACACACACACAAGACACACATACAAAGACACATTCATATAGACAGGCACACACATACATACAGACACAAAGACAGGCACACATACATACACACAGACAGGCACACATACATACACACAGACACACACATATAAGACATACATACAAAGACAAGACACACATACACACATACATACAAACAGACACACACACAAGACATACATAAGACACACATACATACAAACACATACATACATACAGACACACACAAGACACACATACAAAGACACACACACAAAATATTTTAGTCACCCTCCTGTTTTCTACCTTTTAGGTGCAGGAGGGTGACTTTCCCTGGGGTCCAGTGGTGGCTCAGGTGGATGGGAGTCAGAGTTCCCACTCTGACTCCCTCTTGTTCCTCCCGCGCGGTCTGTGTTTTAGCTGGGAGGAGTGACGTGCAGTCACTTCCTCCCAGCATGTAATGTAATCACAGGGGGCCTGGTCGCACTGTTAAAGCACCCAGCACTGACCGGGCCCCCTTACAATCCACATCCATCGGGTGGCCCTGACAGCATGGACCACCCAATGGACCCCTTGGACAGTGGCCCCGGCGGTTTGCTGCGCGGGCCGGGGCCGCAAATTGTGATGGTGGTACCCGGTCACAGGGGTACCGCCGGCTCGCACCGGCGCTCCCAATCTCTCAAAATGAGGAAATCCCTACCGCCCATCTGGAATCCTGAAACGCCCACTAGTGGGCGGTAGGGACCAGGTTGACGACCCATGAAATAATCCATGCATACATGAAAGACAATACAATAGCAGCATAAACAGATATCTGCACCAAATATGGCTACAAGTCCATATAATAAGTGTGTATAGTACTGCATATTTGAAATCCACATGGTAAGTTTGAATGTCTTATACCCACATAGGTAATAGATGCAGTGTCTATGAACACTGGGAATAATCTTAATGCTCAGTGGCAGCTCTAGACGTTTTGAGGCCTTAAGCAACACCCAAACTTGAGGCACCCCACTAACACCTAGGGCTCAGGGACATCCGAGATAATACACAACAGACACAAGTCATGTCCAGCACAGAGTTTTCTCACAGATGTACATATGCAGCATATTTAAGCACATCTACAGTTTCCTGCTTATACATGGGTGACGGGTTGGCTGCCTGGTAACTAGCGTGTGTCACCTTGCAACACATGCACACTTAACCAATACAGTTTTAATACAGTTAATGTCACAGTCATATCACTCGTAATGAAGGTTACATCACGAACACACCCACTAACGGCATTCATGCCCCATCCTGTCCTGACTTAGTGTAATACTCTCAGGGGGAAAATATTTGGAACCAAACAGCAGGTGAATGAAGAGATTTGATACTGTCACTTAAAAAATATATATAATTTATTAAAATAATGTAATTTAACTTTGGCAGACCTCTGTAAGAAATAAGGATTTGAAATAACAATGCATAAATAATGAGAATCTTGTTTCAGTATTGCTTCACAAGAATATAGCATTTAGAAATAAATGAAAATAAGGTATGCTTAATTAGCAGTAAGCAGTATAGTCTGTTAGACTTCAATATAGTTTTGACAGAGCAGGTGATTCCTGTTGTTGGAAAGTAACACAGTCTTTTAACTTTAACCAGTAAATATTGGCAATAATATGTACACTGCTCAAAAAAATAAAGGGAACACAAAAATAACACATCCTAGATCTGAATTAATTAAATAAATATTCTTCTGAAATACTTTGTTCTTTACATAGTTGAATGTGCTGACAACAAAATCACACAAAAATTAAAAAATGGAAATCAAATATTTCAACCCATGGAGGTCTGGATTTGGAGTCACACTCAAAGTTAAAGTGGAAAAATACACTACAGGCTGATCCAACTTTGATGTAATGTCCTTAAAACAAGTCAAAATGACGCTTCAGGTCTGGGGAACGGGCTGGCCAGTCCATAGCATCAATGCCTTCGTCTTGCAGGAACTCCTGACACACTCCAGCCACATGAGGTCTGGCACTGTCTTGCATTAGGGGGAACCCAGGGCCAACCGCACCAGCATATGGTCTCACAAGGGGTCTGAGGATCTCATCTCGGTAACTACTGGCAGTCAGGCTACCTCAGGCGAGCACATGGAGGGCTGTGCGGCCCCCCAAAGAAATGCCACCCCACACCATTACTGACCCACTGCCAAAACGGTCATGCTGGAGGATGTTGCAGACAGCAGAACGTTCTTCACAGCGTCTCCAGACTCTGTCACATCTGTCACATGTGCTCAGTGTGAACCTGCTTTCATCTGTGAAGAGCACAGGGCGCCAGTGGCGAATTTGCCAACCTTAGTATTCTCTGGCAAATGCCAAACGTCCTGCACGGTGTTGGGCTATAAGCACAACCCCCACCTGTGGACGTCGGGCCCTCATACCACCCTCATGGAGTCTGTTTCTGACCATTTGAGCAGACACATGCACATTTGTGGCCTGCTGGAGGTCATTTTGCAGGGCTCTGGCAGTGCTCCTCCTTGCACAATGGCGGAGGTAGCGGTCTTGCTGCTGGGTTGTTGCCTTCCTACGGCCTCCTCCACGTCTCCTGATGTACTGGCCTGTCTCCTGGTATCGCCTCCATGCTCTGGACACTACGCTGACAGACACAGCAAACCTTCTTGCCACAGCTCGCACTGATGTGCCATCCTGGATGAGCTGCACTACCTGAGCCACTTTATTTGGGTTGTAGACTACGCCTCATGCTACCACTAGAGTGAAAGCACCGCCAGCATTCAAAAGTGACCAAAACATCAGCCAGGAAGCATAGGAACTGAGAAGAGGTCTGTGGTCACTACTTGCAGAACCACTCCTTTATTGGGGGTGTCTTGCTAATTGCCTATAATTTCCACCTGTTGTCTATCCCATTTGCACAACAGCATGTGAAATTGATTGTCACTCAGTGTTGCTTCCTAAGTTTGATTTCACAAAAGTGTGATTGACTTGGAGTTACATTGTGTTGTTTAAGTGTTCCCTTTATTTTTTTGAGCAGTGTGTGTGTGTGTGTATATATATTTATCCTGGTATGAGAAGTGGTTATAGTCTTTAGACTGCATCAATAATAATTAACATAAATGAGCAATTTAGCAAATTAGATTTTCAATAGAGATAGCAAGTGGAATCCCAGAGGGTAGACTTTAGTATTCCTTCTCCTTCCAAAATAACTTTAGGTAAGAACCAAAAAGTAATCCCAATAACTGGAGAACTTATCTTGTCTTTCTTGGATGATGAGCATTATAGTCTGTAAGGAAACCAAGTGCATTTAAACCTCAATCGGTAGTTTCCTCCCGAACCGCCAGAGCCTAGTGAATATAGCCCTCCGTTCGGTAGTTATGGTAGACGAATCCCAATGTAATTCCAATAGTGTCCCTGGATAATTCCCTCAGTAAAACACACGAACTCCCAAACAGCATACGTAGTCAGAAGAAGGGTACAAAGATGAACTAAGGATTTATTGACAGGCATGCTCTTTTTATGGGATTCTGCCCATGCAAGGGAGCCTCCCATATAATTAACAGTACATCCAATCCTAACAATATACATACTGTACATCTCCTCCCCTCAGATAACCATTAAACACAATTAAAACGTAACAGAATTTCCCCAAAGTTTGGATGTACCCCAAGGACTTCTCTGGGGGACCAACATATAAAAAACTCAGTCCATTCGGTTCAGCCATTCGGGAGATATGGGACTTAGACGTTTTGACCGACTGCACGTGCAAAGTAGCCGAAAACAGTTCCATGAATTCTGGCCCTGCAGTCGGTCTTAGGTCGCATGAAAAACCTCCCGAACGGCCGGACATCTAGCTACCATCCTTGGTTCGCTTGTTTCCCCATCGGTTACTAAGTCTTTCTACCGAACTCCCGGTCGTTCGGTAGTTTGGAAGGGAGTTTACCGAAGGTCTGGAGGATTCAGCGGTGTTCGCCTATTTGAGTGTCCGTTTTCAGTTCCAGACACTCAACGGCAAACACCGCTGTTCGGGAGCTAAAATGGCCGCGAACACGTGGAAGTCCCGAAATGGCGGCGAGACATGCCGTTCGTGCAGAACTTCTGTCGAACGTAATCCAACCAGCAGGGAGGTAAAGTCTGTATAATGGGCAACAGGGTGGTCTTGATTTGGTAGTTTTACCTACCGAATGCCATAGGGAACATTATTATCAAACAAAAGAATACAAATTGTTAATTTACAGCCTAAGAGGGGCATTTCTTCACACTGCTCCCCTATAAGTCCATAGGTCGGCATACCCGCCTGATGGGTTGGCTTGGGGATGTCCGAGAAAAAAAAAAAAAAGAAACAGTCCAGGTTAAGCATCCAATTCCGTTTGGCGGGACAAACCATCTGCATTACCATTTTGTTTGCCCGGACGGTACTGCATGGTGAAGTTGTACGGTTGAAGGTAGCCGGGGCATTCTTCATCCCAAAGGGCATAACCTTGAATTGGTAAAGCCCGAAGGGAGTGATGAATGACGACTTGGGGATGGCTGTAGACTCCAAGGGGATCTGCCAGTATCCTTTGCACAAATCCAGAGTGGTCAAGTAATTACCCCCAGCCATACGGTCCAGTAACTCATCTATTCTGGGCATGGGGTATGCATCCGTTATGGTGCGGTCGTTGAGCCTCCGGTAGTCTACACAGAAGAGTGTGGTGCCGCCACGCTTCGGTACTAGTACTACCGGAGATGCCCAAGGGCTTTGAGAGGGTTCTATTACCCCTAACTTGAGCATGTCGGTAATTTCTGCCAGCATGCTCTCACGCACGGTCTCGGGAATACGGTATGGTTGCTGCCGCAGTGGCGTCTCTCCCTGGGTTTCTACCCGGTGTACCGCAGTGGAGGTATAGCCTGGGATGGCAGAAAACATGACCTGGTATTCCCGGAGCAGGCCGGACGCTTCCTGTCGCTCTAGAGGTTGTAGGTTCTGACCAAGGCTGACCTGGTCAATACTGGAGTGAGGGGTCTAACAGATCGGGGAGCGGGAGTCCCTCGCTATATTTGGAAGAGGGGGCACATACGGCGCTGACATCTTCCGTTCGTTCATAGTAGGGCTTTAACATGTTTACATGGAAGACTTTGGTCAGTCTTTCATCTGAACATTTACTTACAATGTAGGTGGTATCGCTTATTCGCGCCACCACCTTAAAGGGTCCCTGCCAAGCCGCCTGGAGCTTACCTTTCTTGGCTGGTCTCAAAGCTTGCACTTTTTGGCCCAAGTCTAAGACTCTGTCTCGGGCACCCCTGTCGTAGCACTTCTTTTGGCAGTCCTGAGCCGCCTGCAGGTTCTCCCGAACTGATTCGGTGAGAGTCCGCAGCCGGTCGCAGAACTCCAGTACGTACTGTACTATAGGGATCCCCCATCATCCGTGTTGCCCTCCCAGTGCTCCCGTACGAGATCCAGGGGGCCCGAACTTTTCTCCCGAACAGGAGTTCGAAGGGGGAAAACCCCGTGGATGCCTGGGGCACCTCACGATAGGCAAACAGAAGATGGGGAAGATACCTCTCCCAGTTCCTGCAGGACTCTGCGAACGTTTTTAGCATTTGCTTGAGCGTGCCATTAAAACGTTCACAGAGACCGTTGGTCTGAGGGTGATATGGGGCGCTAAAGAGGGCTTTCACTCCACAGCTCTGCCACAGCTGTTGCGTCAGGAGAGCTGTGAACTGAGTCCCTCTGTCGGATAGGATCTCCTGGGGAAAACCTATCCGGGAGAATATTTTGACCAGGGCCTCGGCTACGGTTTCGGCCTCTATATTGGGGAGGGCCACGGCTTCAGGGTACCGAGTGGCATAGTCCACTACGGTGAGTATAAATTTTTTACCAGACTGACTGGGCCGACTGAGGGGTCCTATTAAATCCACCGCTACCCGGTGGAACGGGTCCTCTATGATGGGTAACGGGTGAAGCTTCACTTTTTGGTGGTCACCCCGTTTCCCTATTTTCTGGCAAACGTCACAGGTCCTGCAAAAGTATTTGAGGTCTTGAGTGACCCTGGGCCAGAAGAAGGTTTGGGTCAACCGGTCTCTAGTTTTCTTAACCCCTAAATGTCCGGCTAGGGGAATATCATGGCTGAGTCTTAATAACTCAGCCCGAAACTTGCGGGGCACTACTAGCTGCCTTTTAGTATCCTGGGCGGTTCCATGTCCCGCCCCCTCAGTCACCCTATATAACAGTCCCTCGTGCCACTCAAACTTTTCGTGGGGGTTGTCGCCCCTATGGTTCCCTACCGCTTTTCTATACCCGTCTAGAGTGGGGTCAGTCCTTTGTTCCTGCTCAAACCCCTGGGGAGTATCTCAGAACGGGGAAGGGGGGTCGGGTAAAGGGAGTATTTCAACTCCTACCTGGGTTTCCTCAGAGTGCGGCGGTGCTTCCAGTCTGGCTTGAGCTCGGGTGGTAACCGGGTAGGCTTCGGATGCGGTGTCTCGGGCTTGCTGGGAAGTTAAACAGCCCACATCATTCCCCAACAGTACTTCGGCTGGTAGCTCCTGCATAATGCCGACCTCTAGTTGTTTAGATCCCGAGCCCCAATCCACAAGGACTTTAGCCGTAGGTAGATTGTGAATGGCACCCCCGGCTACCCTTACTGCCACAGTGCGGCCCGTGTGAGTTTGGGCCTTGACAGTGTGAGGTTGAACCACAGTTAACGTGGCCCCAGAGTCTCTTAAGGCGCGGGCCCCCACCCCATCTACTGTAATCCATTGACGGTGGTGGTCCCGGTTGTCGCCTCCTGCTTGCACAGGGTTGACTTCGTGCAACACACTCCATTGTTCCTCGTGGGTAGGTAACCATGATGTACTCTCCTGCTGTACACAATGAGCAGCGGCCCTGGGTTGTGACTGTGGTGGCGGCCTTTCCCAGCTTCCCCGGTTTAAACGTGGGCACTGGTTTTTATAGTGTCCTGGCTGTTTGCAGTAGTGACACACTGCATGTTGTCGGGGTGCTGCTGCTGGGTTGTGTGGCGGATTACTCAGGGGGGCTCGAGGTTGTGCAGCCGTGGTTTGGGCGGAATACGGCTGTTTAAAGGCAGGTCGGCTCACCCCTTGTTCTAATAGGAGGAGTTGTAAAGCATCCTCCAGATTGGTTGCTTGGCAGCCCTTCATCCAATTCCGGGCTGCCCTGTGTAGCCGGAATGCCCATTCAGTATGGGTATCCCTCCCTGTTTTCCTCAGTTCCCTGAATTTCTTCCTGTAGGCCTCAGGGGTAACTGCATATCTAGCCAACAAAATGTCTTTTATTTTCCCTTAATTATGAATATCCTCATCAGGTACTGCTCGTGCCGCTTCTGATGCTCTGCCTGACAACTTGCTGCTCAGTACTGCAGCCCATTTGGTGGAGTCTAATCCCTCCAGTGCACATTGCCTTTCAAAGTCCTGCAGATAACTATCAATCTCCATCTCATTGTCATTAAAGCTTTTAAATGCAGCATAATTTACCCTTTTCGGCAAGTCATTTGTACTCCCGGGGAGTGCAGCAAATCCCCCTGCAGCGGTCTGTCACGGTCATCTCGCTCCTTCTGCGATTGCCTGGCTTGTGCCATGACCTGCAGAATGCCTCTGTTGCTGGGTTAGGTCCCAATAAACTGAGCATCCCTCTGATGTCTTTCTGCATCTCAGTTTCTTCCTCACGCTCCATTTCTGTAGTGCTGGTTCTGTCGCCCTGTAACAGCTCTGCAATTAACGTTGCTTTTGTTTTGTTGCTTGCTATTACGCCTCGAGCTTCCAGTAAATCCTTTAGCGTGGTTCTCTTAAGCTGTTGGTACTGCTGAGCCATTCATTCCTTTGCTTGCTTTAAAACGTCCGTTCGGGATTCGAATCCCGCCACTTGCCACCAGTTGTAAGGAAACCAAGTGCATTTAAACCTCAATCGGTAGTTTCCTCCCGAACCGCCAGAGCCTAGTGAATATAGCCCTCCGTTCGGTAGTTATGGTAGACGAATCCCAATGTAATTCCAATAGTGTCCCTGGATAATTCCCTCAGTAAAACACACGAACCCCTAAACAGCATACGTAGTCAGAAGAAGGGTACAAAGATGAACTAAGGATTTATTGACAGGCATGCTCTTTTTATGGGATTCTGCCCATGCAAGGGAGCCTCCCATATAATTAACAGTACATCCAATCCTAACAATATACATACTGTACATCTCCTCCCCTCAGATAACCATTAAACACAATTAAAACGTAACAGAATTTCCCCAAAGTTTGGATGTACCCCAAGGAGTTGGGGTACAGACATAAATTTGGTATCCCAGATGTTCTGTTCTCTGGGGGACCAACATATAAAAAACTCAGTCCATTCGGTTCAGCCATTAGGGAGATATGGGACTTAGACGTTTTGACCGACTGCACGTGCAAAGTAGCCGAAAACAGTTCCATGAATTCTGGCCCTGCAGTCGGTCTTAGGTCGCATGAAAAACCTCCCGAACAGCCGGCCATCCAGCTACCATCCTTGGTTCGCTTGTTTCCCCATCGGTTAGTAAGTCTTTCTACCGAACGCCCGGTCGTTCGGTAGTTTGGAAGGGAGTTTACCGAAGGTCTGGAAGATTCAGCGGTGTTCGCCTATTTGAGTGTCCGTTTTCAGTTCCAGACACTCGACGGCAAACACCGCTGTTCGGGAGCTAAAATGGCCGTGCAGAACTTCTGTCGAACGTAATCCAGCCAGCAGGGAGGCAAAGTCTGTATAATGGGCAACAGGGTGGTCTTGATTCTGTAGTTTTACCTACCGAATGCCATAGGGAACATTATTATCAAACAAAAGAATACAAATTGTTAATTTACAGCCTAAGAGGGGCATTTCTTCACATAGTCCTTTCCAGAGTAGTGTGGATTATGGTTCCCTGAAGTAAGTGGAGAGAGGCAGGAATCCTAAGTGAAGTCTGTTCCTTGTCAGGGAGTTGAGAGTAGAGCGTAGCCAGGATCAAAGCCAGAGAGGTTCAGTAGACCGGAAAATCAGTTAGCAGAGCTCTGTCGGGAAGCGGCAACAATGTAGCAAGTAGTGAGAGCGCATCAAAGATGAAAATACATTGAACGAGCCATTTGGATACGGTCGCAGCTTCCTTTTAAAGGGGAGCGCGTGACGTCAGACGCATGGGCGGAGACGGATAGTCAAAACCCGGAAGTCATACGGGTAATGCCGATTGGTCTGAAAACAATATGGAGGAAGTCCGAAACAACATGGGGGAGTCCTGACGCTTAATAAGTAGATCGAATTTGAAACAAATGTGGACAAATTCAGTAATTGAAAGTGGACAAATTCTGAATTCCTTACTAACCGAAAATAAATCCAAACAAATTATTTTAGATTTTCATAACGATAGCAAATTAGGAATATATTTACAAAGCAACTAAAACAACAAAATTAAGTGAAAGGGCTTATCTTAACCCCTTAGGGAACCGGCTCTAAACGCCGGAGGGCGGCATAGAACGCCCAAGTCGTCCTATGTATTACCCGGTCACTGGCGATCCCACGCCAGCAATCGCGGTATGGGTACTCATCTGGGAGCCCAGGGAGTCCCCCTCCATCCTCTTCGGCCCCCCTAAGCCATGTGATCGCGAGGTCCTTTCCTTCAGAAACAGTCACAGCTGAGTACTAGCTAATAGTCGCAATTGTCCGCTACCACAGGTCCAACACTAATCGTCTCCTGACCCTAAATACCCGTTGCTGGTCCAGGAAAAAGACAGCCTATGTACTATGGTACATACCAGACCCGTAGTGGCCCATGCTCGGCCATATACCCCTCACCTAGTCAGAAACCCAGAAAGCAAGTAACCCTTAAAGATAAACTGAGTATACCTAAACCATCCTCGAACAGATGGAATTACCGAAAATGGCCAACGCACACTCTAGTACGGGTAAACCCCAAATTAAAACGCTCATATCAAGAACCCTACGGGGATAATGAGACCGACACGGACACACTACTAGCTGTGCAACCACTTAAGTTCTCCCTTTCCACCAGACGGTACATTACCTAAGGTCCTCTATGTACTATATTATATGATCTATATTTCACCTATGTATTATATGATTTGTATCTCACCACTGTACTAGTGAAAACAGTACAAGGAACCTATGTACCACTCATAGTTGTATTAAATGCCTTCTTGGTTGATACCCTTACCCTATCGCACAATATATGAAGCTTTCTAGTGGTATGTACCTGACTATTAATCAAAATGATTTCTCAGAAGCTTTATAACAAACTATGGCCCTTGCATGGGTCCTCTCGATGTAAATGGATTGTATGTGAGAAATGTTCACCACCCCCTCTATGTATCCCTGTATTTTCTCTTTATGTAAACAATAAAAGTTTATAAACAAAACAATTAAAAAAAAAAAAAAAAAAAAGTCGTGATTCGGCCATGACAGTGCCGCTTTAAAAAAATGTTAACAACTTTTTTCAGTGTCAGTGGGACTGATGGCTATGTTTTCCATCTTATTGGCCACATGGGGGCTGCTTGGGTTGTCAGACATTCCCCCAAATTCGGAGCAACATCGATCACCTAAGTAACCACAGGTGATACACAGGGCTATGCTACCCTGCGGCGTTAAAGGCTTAATTTTTCTATTTCAGACATTTAGTCAATAGTTCCCTGAATTGCTACACTTCCATGGATTTGCCATTAATAAGGGTAATAAATTAGGGACTTATCTACTAAGCAACTGAAACAGCAAAAATAAAAAGTGTCTTCTTGCTCAGCTGCTTAGTAGATAGCTCCCTAACTTGGTATCCAAGCTATGTGGGATTGTTATTACAAAGGATAGTAAATGAGGGACTTAATTTGGTATCCTTAAATAAACACTATAGTGTTAGGAATACAAATGTATTCCTGACACTATAGTGCTGGTGTGGCTGTTTAGGTGACTGGTCTCACCCAGATTGCACTGAAGAGATGAAGTGACTTTACTCCTCTTTTCTTCCACGCTGCACAAGTATCGTTGCAGCTGTCTCCTCCTCCATGGCTGACATCATCAGTCTTGATGATCTTAGCCAATCCAATGCTTTCCCATAGGAAAGCATTGGGAGGCTATTGTGCATTTTAACACCACATAGACAGACTATAGACACTACATTAAGCTGTAGTTGTGCTGGTGACTATAGTGTCCCTTTAAATATGATAAAATTCATGATAAAAGCAAAATATCCAATCTTTTGTCTTTGCAAAAAATACTGACATGTGTCGGTCATGATTATATTTTTAAAACAAATTGTATAGTATGTCAAACGAATTGACCAAAGTGATAAATATAATACATAGATCATAAAGATCAAGACAAATATTTATAATAAAATAAAATACTGTAGGATCAATTATTTTTAAAGCGTAATTAACGATAGTAAACCAAGGAGGTCCTGTTCAAAAGTTTTCATGACAAGTCTCCAAATAGTATGCAGAAAACCATATAGGTTTTCAAATGCATAAAAGTGTGTGTCTCAAATAGGTTAACTCAGTGGAAATTCACAGTCCATACAGTATTAAATAGAAATTGTTACATACATAGTGCTTGTTGGATCCAAAACCTGCACTAAATAAAATTTGTATTCCTCACTAAATAGCCAACTCATACAGAGGGAGTAGGGATTAATACGAAAATATAACAAGAACATGTGCTTTATAAACCCCCCACTTGTATAGCTGGAATAGGGCTAAATATCGAAGTATAAAGTATATAAGTCTAATGCCCGTCTGAACAGACGGCGATACTGTGGTCAATATGTATCGAAAGAGCCCTTTCCCCTTGACGCGCGCGTTTCGCCCACAGCTCATCTGTGATGTTCTTGTTATATTTTCGTATTAATCCCTACTCCCTCTGTATGAGTTGGCTATTTAGTGAGGAATACAATTTTTTCTTACACTAAATTTTATTTAGTGCAGGTTTTGGATCCAACAAGCACTATGTATGTAACAATTTCTATTTAATACTGTATGGACTGTGCATTTCCGCTGAGTTAACCTATTTGAGACACACACTTTTATGCATTTGAAAACCTATATGGTTTTCTGCATACTATTTGGAGACTTGTCCTGAAAACTTTTGAACAGGACCTCCTTGGTTTACTATCGTTAATTACGCTTTAAAAATAATTGATCCTACAGTATTTTATTTTATTATAAATATTTGTCTTGATCTTTATGATCTATGTATTATATTTATCACTTTGGTCAATTCGTTTGACATACTATACAATTTGTTTTAATTTATTTTCATATTAAAAGCTATATTTTAATTTGAGGGCACTCACTTGTTCTCCTTCTCTACTTTCACTACTGCTGTAGTTTATATAGGGTTAATCCCTTCTATGAGTGTATCCTTTTTGCTTCCTATTTTCTTCAATTTCTATAGTGATTATATTTTTAGTTTCTATTCTCCCCTTTCTTAAAGGAGCGCTATAGGGTCAGGAACACAAACATGTATTCCTGACCCTATAGGGTTAACACCACCATCTAGCCACCCTGGTCCCATCATGCCTCCCTAAATATAGTAAAATCTTACTTGTATTCAAGTCTACAGCAGCTTACTTTGTCCCTGTTTCCTTTAGACCTGCCCACTGCCTGCTGACATTAGCAGAAGTGGTAGCCTGATCCAGTCACAATGCTTCCCCATAGGATTGGCTGAGACTGACAAAGAGGCAGATCAGGGGCAGAGCCAGCACAATTCAAACACAGCCCTGGCCAATCAGCATCTCCTCATAGAGATGAATTGAATCAATGAATCTCTATGAGGAAAGTTCAGTGTCTGCATGCAGAGGGAGGAGATACTGAATGTTTGGATGCATTTTAGGCAGCCATGACCCAGGAAGGATCTCTAACAGCCATCTGAGGAGTGGCCAGTGAAGTTATCACTAGGCTGTAATGTAAACACTGCATTTTCTCTGAAAAGACCGTGTTTACAGCAAAGGGCCTGAAGGTAATGATTCTACTCACCAGAAGACATTCAATAAGCTGTAGTTGTTCTGGTGACTATAGTGTCCCTTTAATGACTGGTGATGCAGCTGGTTTTAAAAGGGTATAGCACATAATGGGGTGAAGTGGGTAAAGCCCAACAAGTAAGAGGGGGCTGTGCCACATACCTTTAATTACTTACTAATTAAGGACTGTTTCAGCGGTGGCTTTTGACGTTTTACTTTTGCACTAGTTTTGGTTAGAAATGTGGCATGTACTTTTTGAAACACATATGTATGGGAAAGACGTATTAGCAGCTACTCCAATAGCACAGATATAAATTATCGGAAAATTATGTCTCTCATGCATATTAATATATATTACTGTTTAGCGATAATATTCTGTAGAATACTGTATTAAGAAATTTTGCTGGTTTAAAAAAATTATTTTCGAAATGTATTTATTTTCAAAAGCGGTGGTATTGGTCATTCTACTGCATATGGTCTTAGCAGCTACCCAAACAAAATAAACAAAAAATCTATTTTACATAACTGGAATTTATTTGAAGCACCATGCATGGCTTTGCGGAAAGCTGAATGGACTGGAGGGAATTCATGTCAGAAAAAGATAAAAACTAATTTGTATCTAACACAACGTGCTTATAGTATCTACGCAGGACTAGATTAAGAGCCCATTGGGCCTAGTGCTGACAATAATGATGGGCCTAATTACAGAATTTTATCAACAGAAAACAGTAAAACAGTTATACCTCTCAAGAGTCATGTATCTGGTGGAGGTGGTGCTGGAGGGAAACTCACAGGCTGCATCTATACTAAAACACATACCCTATGCCAGGGGTAGGCAATCTTCGGCACTCCAGATGGTGTGAACTACATCCCCCATAATGCTCTTACACACATAATGTTGGCAAAGCATCATGGGAGGTGTAGTCCAAAACATCTGCAGTGCCAAAGGTTGCCTATGCCTGGCCTATGCTAAAGATGGGCCACTGATGAGAATCAAGTAACCAGAACCGTCCAAAGGGGAAAACATTATTATTATTAATATTATTATTGGTATTTACATAGCGCCAACTAATTCCGCAGAGGTTTACAATGTTATGAAAGGGGGGAAATTTACAATAAATGAGAGAATTACACAGTGAGACAGAACCAATAGGTAGAGGAGGACCCTGCTCAAATGAGCTTACAGTCTAGATGAGGTGGGGTACAAATTACACAACAGGACAGCAAGGGTGACAGCCACCAAACAAGGTGGAAAAGTAGCATAACTGGAGGTGAGAGTGGAGTGTGGCTCTTTAGAAGAGACAGATATGGATAGGTATAGATAAGTTACTCTGGGAGTCCATGAGCATTTCTGAACAGATGTGTTTCGAGGGACTTTTTAAACAATTGAAGCACAGGGAAGAGTCTGATGGGGGTAGGCAGGCTGTTCCAAAAGAAGGGAGCCGCATGAGAGAAGTCCTACAAGCGCGAGTTAGCAGTAAGGGTGCAAGCAGCAAACAGGAGGTGGTCACCGGCAGAGCGGAGAGACCAAGAAGCAGCATATGTATGAATCAAGGAAGGAATGTAAGAGGGGCTAGAGTTGGTTAGAGCTTTATTTTGAATTGACACCTATAGGATATAGGAAGCCAGTGTAAGGATCAACAGAGAGGCTAGGTATGGGAGGAGCGACGGGTAGGAAAGATCAGCCTGGCAGCAGCATTCATTACCAATTGTAGCAGGGCAGTTCGGCTTTTGGGGAGACCGACTAGGAGAGAATTACAGTAATCCATGCGAGAGATTACCAGAGCATGAACAAGCTCCTTGTTAGCATCTTGTGTGAGAAAGGGGTGGATGCGGGTGATATTTTTAAGATGGAATCAGGTCCGTCCTTAGGCCTTTAGGCACTATGTGTGAAAAATCCTGACAGCGCCCCCCCACCTTCATCCATGTATAGTGTGTGTGTATAGGGGTGTAGTGTTTGTATAGGGAACAGTCATACACACAGTTAGTAATACACACACATATACAATCACACACACACAGGCAGACAATCTCACACACACACACACAGG